TACTCATTTCGTGCAGACACTTTCCAGTAATTCTTTTTCTAAAAGAATATCTATAGCTTTTCTATTGCTACGTCAAAGGCGTACGTATCCAAGACCCAAGTATCCAAGGTCAAAGGCAGCGACGAAAATATTTTTTAGTTTTTTATTCCTTTGATAAGGCTTATGTTAACATTTATGCAAATTTCAGGCAATTTCTTAGTTTGTTTCGTTTTCTTGCACTCATCACTAGCGAAGATCTTCGGACATCTACATGAGTTAATCTCCTGTTCGAGGATTTCGCCCTCTACATTAATCTCGTTAGTTTTGCTGAACCTTTCGAAGATCCTGTCATAGCTCTCACAAACAGCCTCTAATTTGCGTGGTAAACAGTCATGTGCCTCGCGAATATCAAAGATCTTTTCCCATTAAAGCCTCATACTAATTTGCCGAATCGCTAAGGGTGAGAAGCGCAGTTGGCTAGAGCTGAGTTTGAAGCATTGGGCATGCGTTATTGTACTACAACGGTAAATCACTGGGTTTCTCAGACCACACGGGAAATCTTAGATGTATTTTACGCAGTTAACTTGAAGCCATCATCGAAATACCATCGTCTAAAAAGTTTCGACAATGAGAGGTTTTTTCAAAACAATTTCTATATATTTTTTTGCATCAATCACTAAAGCGTACGAGTTCTTAGAGCTTTTTTTATCATTCTTTGGAGAAGAATTCCATTCTGACCTTGGATGAAAGCTTGCTTGTCTACAGTTCACAACACTCTATGCACGCGTAACTCGAAATCTTATGCAAATATATGGTCGCACCCTGATCTTTCTTAATTCGGCTGAAAATTCGTTTTTCTCTCGTTGCCACTATCCCAACAGTCATGTACGGTAGCCAGAGCCGAGGGGCGGAGCACCTTGGACCGTCTCGTTTCATTTGCCGTCGATGAGCAGCTCGTCGTCACTCACCGTCGCTCAGCTAGTCACTGCTGGGATTTTGTTGCTGGTTCTTCGACTGGTTAGCATTGATTGCTTCGCCATTTTGTACTATTCAACGTGACCCTTTAGATAGTTAAATAACTACCTAAAGTTGATGTTTTACGTAACCTAGAAATTTGCGAACGCTTTTGCTTACCATAAGTTCGGTGGTGAAAATCTTTTAGGATAACTTCTATAATGCTTAAATGTTTGCAAAACTCCGGACCGTAGGTGTCTGAGGTAGGGAAAAAGTGCGCCATTATCCTTTCCGGGAAGTAACGCGTTAACCACCACACCATGAGGGTCTTTCGTTTCGCCTTTCTCTCAGCTAGTTCTATCGATTACTGCCTGTTATAGAAGTTATATTTTGCAACACGCCCTGCCATTTAAAAGGAAAGAGCAGGCAGTAAATAGAAAAGTTAATGATTATCTTAGTACAGCTAAAGTTAAAATCTCTATTCGAAGCTATTTCGTAGTTTTGAAACATTAGCACAATTTCACTTGCGATAACCCGACATGCCCTTTGCTTTTGTCCTTCTGTTAAGTACTGAAGTAGGAGGATGCGAAGATAAAAAAATCTTACAGTAAGGAGAAAAAAATGCTCTCCAGAAAAAATGAGTGAACACAAACACAAGGAAATGATTAGAGCAATGAAGAAGTAACATGTCTACAGCCTTGAATTTAGAACGTACGGAGATTTTTCATCAAATATTTCTTGAGGAGTGGTCGTTCTTTTCGTTTTCAAGCAATAAAACCCATTCGATGCTCTTGTTTTGATAAATTGCCGTGCAGCACTGTGATATGTGACTGGCGGTACACCTGGATAATTACAGTATTCACTATCTCTTCAGGTCCTTTAATTGATCGTTGTAGGGGGTTAGGCAGTTGAGTGGCGCATGTTACGCAATTCGTCCACATCTGCCGATTCCAGGTGCCAGCTTTTTCGACGTCACGTTTTCGAATTCATGAGCTCTCTGTTGTCCACAAAAGTTTGGACTGTTGCGATTCGCTTGCAGGTAAGCCTATGCAACAGGACTGTTATTCTTTGCATTTGAACTCAAGTAATTAGTGAGTCACCTTTATACTTAAAAAGCTCCTTTCAAAAACTGTACTTGCGGCACTAAACAACCTTAGGAATGACTGTCATTGTTCTTATCATGGAAATGCTTCTTCTATAAGTGTTAACGGAGAAAGTAAATATCGATTGGCGACCGCCTTTTTCCGAGTACACAGAGGCAGCAATTTATAGTTTTGAACAGTTCTTTTCCGCAAAAAAAATGACTGCGGAAAATGTTATGTTTCGAAATCTCATCTGAAAGCCGGGGTTACTGTGACTCTTTCAAATCTCAAAAAAATTTTTTTAAGTATGATGAACCCGTCCAAGAAAAAATATTTTGTCTGGCAACGGCACCTAGTTATAAGAGCATTAACACAAGCAGTGTTGCAGATCAAAAATCTACAGAGTGTTAGCTCCAATCTGCTATTGTTATGCCGCTGTTGAAAATAGCATTTGAAAAGACCAAACACCTTTTGACAATCATATCAGAACCTTACCATCTTCACCATTTGTTGTTGTAGAAGAGCTCGTCGGCGTTGCAGCGAACCAGTCGTGCTCTTCGTGCGAAGTTCAGCTGACTTTCTGTGCAGGAATCCGATTCATTCCGAAGAGACACTATAAAGACTGTCACTACCTTCATTTTCTGACACCGTTTCTTTCTGATAATGAACTTCCTTATAACGCTTTTGTACCGATCCATATAAGATGGCCATTGGTGAGTTCACTGTAAGCATTTTTACGGGCACAATTTTTGCAAGCAATTCTGTACTAAAAGAAAAGACGTTTCTGGAAAATCTGAATGTATCTCTAGAAAATTTCACCCTCTTTATGACGGTCTATTCTTGGCGAGGTCTCAAGGAAAGATCGTGCATGCAACCGCAATAAGGCTGAGATATTTGCAAAACAAGGCATCTGCAAGCAAAAAATATTAGGCAGTAGATAAAAAGTTAAACACTTCGATTTCGTCTACAGTCTCAGCTTAAATTTGTTCTTTGCTGAATTGTGTTCCACAGAACATTTTCTTTGAGGGATTATTGCTGATGGCACTGTTAGAGTAGAAAACTGGCCCAGAGGAAGGTAAAGCAAAAGACTCCAGTTGCGCTGTGCGTAACATCTGAACTCCCGGAAACGGTAATCGCAGTTCGATATGGTCTGGAGCCAAAATTTTGCAAATATCTCGCCATCATAGTGGCTGTATTTCACATCACACCCTGTCGTGAAAAAAATTATAAGCAGTAAATAAGAACATAGTGAGATCAGAAATAGTTAGCATGCATATTCAATGAGTCTCTTGAGAGTCGCCCTGTGGTGTTCGTTGTAAAGGCGTCATGCGTAATTAGCTTAGCGATTTTGCGCGATATTCTGGTGGGGTTTACTGGCTTTCAAGCCCTAAGATGAAAATACTTGGAGTCGGAATCGCAATCAAATGTCTTTATTTCCGGCTTATTTAATGTTCGTTCTTGTTGTTCATCTACTTTCTTATTTATTTCTGCTGGCGTGTCTTTGCGCGTATGCGAGACCCTGTCTGCCTGTCTGTCAGTATACCTATCAATTTGCTCCTGGAAACTGCTCACATAGAAAAATACTTACTAATTGCTTTATCTGTTGATATTATTCAACATATTTGTCAACGGTCTCTATGGTGAAGCTTCTCGAAAAGAATTTAGCACATGCTTTATTGAGATTCCTCCTGCAAACTTTTTTACATGAGGCTTTTTTGCCAATCAAGTCCATTTCTTCTTTTCAGACGTACTGGAATACCCCTTTTGCGAAAGGCACAACACTGAATTTTCAAATAAAATTACTGGAAGCCTCATAGTGTTGTAATTGTAATTCACATCGTACCTTGTCATGAAAAATTATAGTAGGCAGAAAATGAGAGTTCAAAATTGTGATTTCGACTGTAGCCTCAGCTTAACTGGTTTCAATGCTGATTTTGGCTCGCTGAGTCATTCCCATTGACTAATGATTGTTAATGGCAGCGTTAGGCAGCAAACTAGCTGAGAGAAACGCAGAGCAAGGGCATTCGTGGAGCAGTGTGTAAAGCGGGAGTCACCGGAAAGGTAAATCGTAGTTCGATTTGGTCCAGGATCCAAGTTTTGTGGATCTCTGCATCGCTGTGGAAAAGCTGTAGTTATCATTTTATCACTGAGAAATTGACGATGATCTCCAATAAGTCTTTTTCCCTTAAAATCATCACCTTGTAAATAATTAGTGATATAATCAACAACTGTTGTGGAAAAGATCTATATGTCTACTTTTCATTCGATATCATTGTTCTAATAATGGTAGTGCTTTCAATGTGTAAAGTTTAATGTTTCTGATCAGGCTCGAGTGAAAATCACAGCCTCTCTCAACAGTCTCAAAAATTGAACCATTTAGCCTCGGCAGAACGAAACGACTAGTCCAGGATTATTTTTTTTTGCAAAACTGACAACTTGCTCTTTCTAACGTCTTGCTTTGTTCTCTGTTTTCCAATTTTTTTGATTTATTCAATTTCATATGACATCTTGCTTGAAGACTGACCTTTACGCAGTTTTACCTTGACCAATTCGTCCGATCCTCATCAATCCGCTTTGTCCTCAGCTGTTTTTTTTTGTTCGAAATTTGCCACAGTCATTTGGTCGCCGCTTTTTCGCCGAACACCCATTGGCCCAGTTTTTCCACTTTCAACTCTCCGTTTTAATGGACTCGTGAACGCACCCGTTACCACATGATTTTTGATGGCACAAAATGTCATCCCATCTGGTGAGCGTCCAAGAAAAACCATTTGTCCTAGCCTAATCCAGGCCGTTTCAAGCATTATTTTCCTTGATAGAAGGCCTTATTATAAGGTTGAGACAGTTTCCACTGCTTCATAACAACTTATGCAAGAAATTGCTTTATGTATATTAAGAAATTTCTTTCCTCTGAACAACATCCAATGAAAACGAAACACTGTGAGACATCTCCTCTCGAAATATTTCGACAGCTATTCGTTCAGATCGATGACTTTGATGTCGATTCGTGAACGTGAAAGACAGCAGCTCGGAGCGGGGATAACAAAAAGCAGCTGCAAATGGAGAAAAGCGCTGCTTCCAATCGATTACGGTCCAAGAGATGTAGTTGGATACCGTATTCTTCGTGTTAGTCATCCAATGAACTGGGAGTGGAAAGAAAATTTTTAGACTAGCAGCAATTTTGTTGGTTCACCATCCTTAAATGATTATCTCAGCTTTGTTTATGATTAATGCTCCATCTGAGACAGGCACCATCTACGTTTCAATTTTTACTCACAAGTGCTCATCGTCCATTCGGATGATTGTTGTTTTTACCAAGATACATAGGCGTATTCTGTATGGTTACTTAGCATCGAGTAGGAAAACTTAGGGAGAAAGCCAATCTACAGTGGGAATAATTTTGTTAGCTTTCGATTCTATTTTTTTGTGCCGGTCCATTCGATTGACATACTGCTTACCGTATTCACCGCCGACGTGCTTCGTCGGCATTACGGTCTCTTTGAGAGGGTGGTGGATTAAAGGATGAGTGCAAAGGTGCTTAAGAGTTCCGGTCGGTGCTAAGAACACTGATTATCGATTATAGGAACATATGATGTTTAAGGTGGTAAAGACGATTTTTGATGTTGAAAGTGATGATGGAAGCAATAAAAGCTCTAAAATGAGGCGAATGAAAGGAGGTTACGCAACTCTGGATGAGGTGGATCTTCCACGTTTACATGTTGTAGGTAAGGCAACCTAAGAACGTCTTAATCTGTTTGGTAAGAACTTAACCACTCCTTGATCTTCACTGTTTTATCTATAAGCATTCTACAAAGAGACCATCTACCCTGCATTTTGCCACTCGTCAAAAAGGAAAAATTCAAGTACAAGTTTTCATTGGCAAGCATTCGACCTATGAAGTAACCAGGATTGGGAATATTGTTTCAAGCCACTCAATTTTAACGTACCATTTCTCGGTTTTGAATACTTCACAACTATTTTTGCATGAATTTGGTTAGCACTAGGTCTAACGGTTGTTGGAACTATACATGGCGTTTCCTCTTTAATCACTGCTTTCCCTTCCTCCCTCTCTTTGTCCGACGATTTCGTCACCTGTTCCCGTCCCCTATCTTCTTGGACTTCATTCTCTTGTATTTTCTTTTATAATGTTCTCATTTTTTGCACCATTTTCGTTTTTTGCGTTCTCAGTGCTCCACCATCTACCTTTCGACCATTTTGTGCTCATACAGAGTTTTCGCCTCCTAGATGCTAAGCAACAATTATAGACACCTGTGCAATGTGGCGTGGATGGCGCAATAGTGGAATTATTAGAAAATCGTCAGGGTCATCAACAGAAATACACACCATCAAGCCATCAATTAGCACTTTGTTAGGGCTTGTGCTGGGCCAACAAACCACTCAGCCTCTAGTGGTGAATGTTTGGATCTGGTGGGGTCTGAGTAGGGTTTCGGTTTGCTCGGCCAGCTACCAGTCAGCGACGTCGATGAACGCCATGTTGCGTCGATGAACGCCACTGGCTGCGACCACATTTCGACCACCTGTTCACCATGACTATTCGCGCCCAGCCACATGAGCATGCAATATACTTTGTCCTGACCTCGGACCAAATAAGAGACAAAAAGACTCCGATCCCACTTTAGGAACGATGTACCAGTTTTATCGGTTTTATCGTTGGAAGAATTTTATGAATCTTCAAGCAAACCGGTTTTTCTGTTCTTTGAGGACTTTATTGTGATAATGTGAACTAGTGGTTAGAGATGTCCTACGATAGCACTCGTTCCGCCAGTGCGCTTTGGTCAAACAAGAATGGCATACCTCGGCGTCTGTAATTTAGTATCGGGGTTATTTGTTCTGCAGAAGAAAAAACACTGAATTAGTACAACGCTAGGCCTTCGTATAAGTGAAATGCGCATTATCTCATCCCAAGAATAGCACAAACAGAACCGAATGCATGGCGTATACCTACAAGAAAGATCGTCTTCGAGCGCTTTCTGTTTTTATTCTTTGAAAGACATCTGCTGTGGCATATTCACATTACTTAGCCATATTTTTAAATAGAACACAAAAATGAGGCAATGATTCCTTGTAGAAATGATTTCTCTCATTATCCCTCAAGGATAGATATATTTAAACAACCTATAATATTTTGTTCTGTAGATTTTCAAATCGATAACCTATAAGTTGCGTTTACACATTGAGAAAGACACTCACGAAACAGCCATACAGAGTCGGTTGGGTTATAAACACTGTAAGAACTTGTCAACTGAAGTCTACACAGTAGGTTTAATGTGCGATTGAGACGTTTTCTTTACTTACTGTTTATGTTTTCTGTGAAACGTGTGCTGAAAGATAACGATAACGGTCGTAAGTAATAGTAATAAAGTAGAGCGACCTTTTTGTTACACAATTTGATGTGCTTATAAAATACAGTGCGTCATACCCATTGTTAGAAAATGTCCTCAACCGACTCTAGGAAAGCAGTTAGCATACTGAGTGGAATATCTGCCGGTTGGGTTCGACAGAGAGTTCGGACACATAGGGTTAGAACGGAATTTCATAAAGGCATCCCATCAAAACAACATAATCGTGCTCAATTCGTGCTGAGACGGTCATCAACGAATGCAGTAGAATGCTTGTGTTACGAATTCATAAAGTCGTTTAACAATAAGCGGTTAAATCAAATAACCGAGCAGTAAGAAGTAGCTGGTGTTGGGAGGTCATCATCAACGTTTCGAACGAAGATGTGCCGAAAATGACAGGAGTGCGATTTGTGCTGCCCCAAAAATGTTTCAGAAGCGCTGACACAACTTAACAATTTAACAGTCATCTTCATATTGGCAATATTGGCATCTGATCTTTATAAAACTTGCAGTACTTGATGCAGATGAAGATCGAAATGGTCGAATACCAACTTTCATTTGCGCTCTAAACGTCGTCAACACAGGTTGCTCCAGTGGCGGCGATGATTTACGTTGTGATGATAGACATATAGACCCTAAGGGCTGCCCATAATTTCGTTCATCTGAAGAAACCTCTACTCGACGAGCATAGCTAGAGATATGAAACAATCACAGTGTTATTATGGACGTTGCTGATTTGGGCATTGCGATAAGGTGACATGAAGACGATAAGAAGATTCACAGAATGTCCTCTGTCAAGTCGACTTTCATAGTAATTAGTCCTAGAAACAGAATTATGAGCATTGAAAATTGCTACCAATAAATGTAGTGCGTTTTGGTTGAAAATCAGTGAGAGACTTTCCACTAAGAAAAGAAGAACGCTTTGATGAACGTCATAATTTTCTTGTTCACAATTGAGCACACCCAGCGACGTAGTTGGCAGATCTTTGTTATACAAGCGTGGTCATTGGTTCGAATCCACACTCAGAGTGAACCAATTCACCCATACGTTCTCGATCAACGAATAAGCACCAGACTACTCCGGAAAGATAAAAATGCTGAATTAATACTAACAGCAGGTCTCTAAAAAATATCGTTAAGATCAAACATTTTTTCAACTCAAAAATTCTTCTGTTATGCTTTCTATGAAGACGCATTCTATTCTTATCTCATGTGGTTTAGACGAAATGGCAACTGACAGTTAGTGCTCATAATCGTCAAAATGAGGTGGTGCTGGAAACTTCGCAGTTGTTCCAGAATATCAGCTCTAAATCCTCCTTAACTCAAATAACAACAGTAGGTGAAACTTCTATCACCCACAACTTTCGAGTCTGTTTATTGCACATTTTGTTTTGAAAATAAGCACTTTATAAAAATGCGAATATAAATTTTTACGCTGCTTTCAGGATTCCGAGAATATTACTGTTCAGTTCTCGTTCTCCATTGAGTGTGAGAATCACTTCTATGGTCCAACCTGCACCATCTATTGCAACGATAACTTCAATAAGTACGGACATAATACCTAATACGAAGTTCTATCCACAAAAATTGTGCTAGGCACATGCTCAAAATCGATAAAAAAATTAAAATACTAAGAAAAATATGATGAACGAATAGCACAGTGTTAGTGTTGCAGTTCACCATGAGCAAGATTCGCGCTCGACCAGCTTCAAGCCCACCAAATCATCCACCTCTCCAAGGTCGAGAATTTATTACCAGACTTGGTTGGGACCTGCTCACTCAACTACTTTACTTGAGAAAGCTATAGCACGGCTACCTCAAGGTTCCAGAAAGAATCGACTTCAGCGTCATTCAACGTCATTCGTGAACAAGACAGAAATTTCCAAGCAGTAGCTGGGCGGAAAACGCGAGTAGTTCGAAGTCCTTTATTAAAGACTGATCCGTGAAAACGAAGCAAGAATTATTGGAATCTACAAAGTATATCTGAAAACGGGTCGTTTAAACCATGCCGTTTAAAACACGGCATGATTTTCTTAGCCATATCTTCGGTCTACTTACGACGAGTTTCGACTCATTTCGCATTAAATAATACACCACTGAACTATTTTTTATCATTTAACCTAAAATTATGGGCTCATGTGACGCATTTGTCGAAGCCACTCTGCAGTACATACAAAGTCGTTGGTACGATCCCACATCTGACGCTGAATAAGCCTTCTCTCCTTTCGGGGTTGAAAAATTAGCATGAGACTTACACGGGAACGGTAGAAGCAATGAGTTCATTCTTCGATAGGTCCATGCGAGCCACTTCATAGGCCGAATATGCACTTCACCACTTTCTACGAATTCTATGAATAAATCGAAATGCATCGAAGAAGTTGACCCGTGGTGACTGCTTTGCTCCGCGAGTGCTTTAACTCGAATACTAAATTGTATTCCATAATCCGTTCTTAGTTAAATACTCAAGGAACGTCGTCAGAAGTTACGAAGCAGAGCATTATTTGCATTAAGGCGTGATTAAGTGTTGACTACCTAATTTTTTCTTCATTGTGAAGCCGTTAAGTGCCTTAGTAAGATGGTAACAAAAAATTGCCGCCAGATGCTTGAAGTTTTCTCAATCTTCGAAATTAAATGTTCTTTTATCATTAATTTAAAGCACTTTGAAGAATATAACGTCCTTGTTTCCGCTGGATTATATTCATTTAGGAAAGTGTTTCTACTTCAGTACAGTTCATTCTATGACATAAAAAACTATTCATAGGGTTCTGTGCTCAATCGTTGACCTGAAGAGGATTTCAGTCTGAATGGTGGCTCATTCAAATGTTCGCTGGACGGTAAGAAACTCTGCAAGAAAGGATGGAAAGGAACGTTATGCGCCGAACCACAGTGCGATCAGAAGTGCGTGCACGGGACTTGCGTGAAGCCCAACACATGCATGTAAGTGAGCTGAAAGGTATTAGGCGAAGGTGATCATTGGAACATCTGATGAACCGCTCTCCATAAATTATGATGGAAATCGTCGTAGATATAAGGACACTGGGTGCGGAATCCCACGATCGAAAATAAAATGCACAGAAACCATTGCGTATTGTCACGAATGAGTTAAAATGAGTAATAAGACGAAAACAAAACGAATAAGGGAAGAGCTGTGTAAAGTGAAAGCGGAGTGAACAAGTGTCGTTATGTCAGTGGTGTTCTGCAACATTACGCTATGACGAATTCCTAATCATTCAAATACGCAATCATTTTCCACTGAAGCTTTTCTATCTATCATCGTCTAGAATCCTTTTGCTGGAAAGTTCTTCTATAGGTGTGATTTTGGATGGAGAGGAGAAACCTGCTCAGAATGCATGCCGTTACTGGGCTGCCAACATGGTCGATGCCGCCGACCACGTGAGTGCGAGTGCTTCGCCAGTTGGGGCGGAAAGCTCTGCGATATGTAAGTATCCGAATTCGCCCTATGGTTTTATGGTTTGCTAAATTTATTTTTTCGGTTAAAATTTCTTTATCCTTTCTGTCCTTGTTACGTCTTGTTTACTAGTAGAAAAAAACATTCCGAGACTGATACTGCGCTCATTTTTCGGTCATTGTGTGCCCTCCAATTGAATATGGAAAAGTTAAACGACTGAAAACTCACCTTTCAAGTAGTCCGTTAACTCAAAAAACAGTTTTAATAAGCTGAAAAATGTTCCAAATGCTTTTTTCTCTTTTGATTCAGCGATCTTGCGCCCTGTGCTCGTCATGGTGTCCTCTGCGAAAACGGCGGCACCTGTATCGCGGATCCGACGAACTCCTACCGATGCAGCTGCTCTGCGGGTTTCACTGGAAGAAGCTGCGAATTGCAGCTTAGCATTCCCTCTGAAGTGAGGACAGAAAATTTTTGTTCTACGAGTTTTTTCTTCGACTGTTGTCTTTACTTATTGATTTATGCGATCGTTTAATATTTATCTCTGCCTATCATGGCTCAATGAAATACATTGCTAGAATTCTCTAACGCTCTATCACAGGTTACGAAACCTATACAATATTTTATTTGATTTTCGACACATAATTCCTTTAAAAACCTGATTGTTTAGAAAAAAAAATAAAGACATATTAAAACTATAACGAAATTACTTCTGGTGTCCGAGCCAATTCAGTTCCACTCTTCCACCTGGAAACCCAGAGATGTGACTAAACTTATACTAGAACAGAACCTGTGAACTACCCATTCCTACTTTCCCGCCAGAAACAATAATGAAGAACGTCATTTAAAAGTGTGGCACTTTTCGTGACTCTTACGCAGCTCAACCTGAAAGAGTGGATGAGCAAGAACGAACGGAGTTAGTTGGTGTCCGCTGAAGTCACATGTTTGTTAACAAAGTGTATTCAAGCAAAGCGGCAGCGGTTGCAACGGTTGAAGAGGTTGTGGAATGCCTAGTGATATGCCAAACGGCAGCTTTGAAGTCTCTCAAAAGAATTGGATGGTTTTAAAAAAATGAGAAACTTGGAAAAGAGTCAAAAATGAATTGAACCAAAAATAAATCAAACTCAGGTCCGAAATTACTTCAGCGCTTCTTTGACGCAAGAAAAGCTATCATTTGCTTGATGTAATTGTCACATGCGTTTGAAGATGGATTCGTTATAACAAGTGGGCTCGGTTTTCGTCTATTATTAAACAATAGTGAGGTATTAAATTGATTTTGAACTCAAATTGGCACCAGAAGAAGGACATGAAAGCTTAGTCTTACCTGATGTGAAGAAGTTTGTGATGGATTCTTCGTAGCTAGCAGAAGGACATTTCAGTACTTCTACTTCTGAAATGCCACAAAACCGTTATATTAGCATTTCTTTGAGGAATCGACTGGCTGTTCTAAGAATTGCGACCGACATTGATCAGTGCAAAGCGGCAGAAATCTCTTTGCATGAAAACGCTATCTAAAGATCCTACTAGTGGATTCTATTGTAATCAAGAAACATGGAATTTTCTTCATATTTGCAAAAAAGACGCCGATTCCAGCGGCTATTGATTTTCACATCTAAGATTGCTGCAAACAGAGAAACCTATGAGATTAATGCTGGTGCTCAAAAACCAACAGACCTTGGCGACAACTCGATGTAAAATACTTACTTTGATACTTGGATACTTGTAAGGTCCCTCTTCACGAGCCGTGCGGACCCCAGCGCATTTGCCATTCGTTTGTTTTTTTCTCTCACAATCGTCATCAATAGCGATGGTTTTGCTCGAGCATGGTGGCACGTGCGAGTCTCATACCGTAATCTGTAAAACAAATGCAGCTGTGAGTACATCCGATTAATTTCGGTTACGAACATTTCCGCCCAACGTGTAAATGGCCGTCCTAGGGAACGCCTGCATTCTCCTGGAGACCGCTCTACAGTTCTTTTCGTCGATCTGCTGTCTGTTGTTCTCATTATGTGACCGGCCCGTCCATATTTCGCTATCGATGTATATTCTCCCAAGATGTAACAAATTTCGAAGATCGGAAATTCACAATCTGGCTAAATATTGACAGTGACGGTTATATATCAGATGACATCGTTCAACCGCTCTATGAGCAGTGCGGAGTGTTTATGACGCAGCTCAAGTATCAGCACACTACAGCTAACAGAGCGCTGTGAGGATAGTTGATTCCAAAAGTTGAACGCGGATTTTCGGCTCGTTCAATTGATCGGTGGCTTTTTTGAGAAGCCCGAATGCGACTTCAGCTGCTCTATTCCTTTTGTTTAGTTCATCCTTCATATTGTTTTCCATGTCCATCGATCGCCCAAGGTATACGTGTGAGGTGGTCTCTGCAATCAGAGAGCCGTAACGTTCACTTTGTTCGCATTCGCGCCATAGGTTTTTCATGAACTGGGTCTTCTTCCGATTTATGAGTAGTCCGATCTTTTTTCCCGCTTCGTTGAGGTCATTGGTCATAGTCTCTGCTTCGTTGGTACAACTTGAGAAGGTGACGATGCCGTTGACGGAACGAAGGTTTGATAGGAGTTTTCCATTAATAGCAGATCAAGTTTGTCTCTCTTATCCCAATCGAATGATTTCATTATCCACTGCACTGCGGCACTAAACATCCTTGGCGATATTGTGTCTCCTTATCGAACTCCTTTTCCTATGGGCGTAGCCGATGGAAAAGCTGCATTTTACTAGTGGATCCGATAGCAGTAAGAGAGAGTTCTTATGTAGGATGGGTGCATTCGTTAGTCGACGAACGCTGATAGGATTGTATTCGTTCCGACACAGTCAAACGATTTTTCATAGTCCAGAAAGGTTATGACTAAGGGTAGATGGTTCATGTAGAAAAATCCTTTGCGCCTCATCCAATGTCCTTGATATGCTCGAGAGGATAATCTTGCAAGGATGGAGAATGTAAAACACTACTTGCCAAAACTAATATTGTCTGAACTTTTACCTTTTTCAGAATGACCATGTTTGTTCGATGTTGAACTGCAGATCCCGAATGTGCGCTTTGACGCCGACACCTCGGTGTAAGTTCGTCAAGGAAACCTTCTATTTCATATCGCGATTTTCATACTCTATATCTCTCTCTCACTTTCAGTTTGACAAACTCGTAGGTCGGTAGGTCGGCTAGGTAAAATGTTTCAAGGCATTCCATGCTGTGCTGTTTATCCACTGGTTTAAAATCTTTTTAAAAGTTTCTACGATTCGACAAGTGATACCCACCTAAGGTTTAAGTTTAAAAAGAGGACAAAGCTTTCGGCATTGATCAATCTCTGAGGGATGTGCTGTGCATTCGACTTCATTAACCGCTGTTTGGAGGTGATTGAATGCAAGGGGCATCTGGCCTTTACAATGACTCTGGTGGCTAACCGATGCACAGAGCCAGTGCTGCTATCCTCCCAGACAAGTCTAGTACCAATATGCCGACCCCAGAGGGATGGAAGGCTTGGTGGATCATGGGCGCGGGGATCGATTCCACGTGTGTGTCGCAATGGCGCCTCCAACCACTTCGCCAAACGCGCCCTTTTTAGGTTTAAGTCTGTTTCACTTTTCTTTGGAGAAATTTACCTAATTTACTTTTTAGTTGACGTAAAATTGAATTCCAAGCCTGATGACATTAGGCATCACTTTATTCCGATGAACTCCTTACATTTTTACTAGTCGACTTGACGTTTTAGTAGTTTAACTTCACGAATGAAGCTTCTCCTACTGTGATATTTTCCACACTTCTTAGTTCTTTCTCTAACAACCCTGTCTTTTTGTTATTTTACACTCACTTTCGAGAAGGAAACGATGTCGACTGGAGCCTATTACAAAAATTAGGGCTGTAATTGAGGTTTTGAAATGTTTTTCCAGTTCATTAAAAAGTTTCAGGTGAGTTTGGCACCAGTAGCCGTAATGACTTCGTGCTGATCAGTTTGCTGCTTACCATTCTGGCACTTTCCCTTGCCATCATCACCCTCATCGTCAAATTTGTCTGTGTCAAGCTAGCAGTCATTCAAAAAACGACTATTCAGGTAGGACAGAAAAAAATGGAAGGCTTTTGGCGAAAGAATGTTCATATTTCAATACGAGTTTTAGAAGCCATTCAATTGCTCAACGCACTGGGTAACAACTGAAGTACATTTCCGTAATGGAATAAGACGAAACTACAAAATTGCGAATGGAGGAAACTACGAGTTAGATTACGGTAGCGGCCTTTCTGTCACTTTAGATTTTGTGTTATTCGGTTTATTTTCAATTATGAAACTGTGATTTTTTCAAAAAGAAAAAAGGAAACTTCCTATGCATTCGTAAGAGGAGAAACACTATGACCCATCATACTTCGCTACCTTAGTGAACATCAACAGCATCGCACTTTTCGCAGTGTGTCCCGTATTTCTGCCGCCTTCGTTGAAAAGGTATAAATGGGGAACCATACAGGCATGTTCACAGGTAGCTTGTTCTATTTTCCCGAGTGAACGAACTTGTTGGTTGAGGGCCTTCCTGTAAGGAAATTTCTTGTAAATCGTAGTCCCTTGGCAGAACTATTTGGCATAATCGACGTCAATTTTGAAATACGCACACCATAAAGAATATTGGATAAGAGCAGCATGTATTTGACTGCATTAATGGCAACATAGAAGTGATTGGAGGCACATTTGATCTGTAAAATGTATGGAAACCGAATCACTTTGACATATGCCAATGGTTATTTGATAGAAACATGTCTTTTTAACTTTTAGCATAAACAGTGCTTCTTATTTAGTAAAAGGATTACGGTCGTCGTCTCCACCGCCGACTTATGACACTGGGCGGGCCACTTCGTCAAGCTGTGGAAGGCGCACTAATGACGAAATCACCGTTTAGACCGCCTCTCAGCGCTCTTCAAAAAAAGGAAATTCCAGGCGACATAAGACAATACTGGTGGCGGTGTTAAGTAAATTTTCCATGAAGAAATAGAAACGAGGCTTTTACTTCCTATATCCCAAAGAGTCCGACTATGCTTGGAAACTGCTGCTATGGTTTCAACGATGTGCGAGTTTCGCGTGTTCTGATTTCTGTTTAGGACACTAACAAAGAAATCCTCTGTGTGTGATATTCGACTTTAAAATTCAAGTGCGTGTTTTCACTAATCTCCATTAAATGTTTTTTAATATCCATTTGTGAGTACAGTTTTTTTTATTTCCATTTAATCATCAATGGATAAATGTAAGACTATGTCGATTGCATTTCATTGGGAAGTCAAAGGGAATAGCCACAGTAAGCCCTCCACTGTAGATGCTAAAACGAAGGTGAACCAAGCAGATGACTTATGTATGTGTTCTCCTCAAGAGTATAGAGTATATTGGAGTGTTCTCCTAAAGTCCAAGCACCTCTTTATTAATGCTCATCGAGTTTCTTATTCACATACTCTGCATAACTGTCCTCGATGTAAAAGACTATATAATTGCCCACATAGACCTATACTTAAACGGTCCACCATCAGTTGTTATGCAGGCCCCAGTATCTCATCTATTCGTTTTTGATGTTGTAACAGTAGTCTATATAGGATATTGAGTTTATGAGTGGGTTCTACAAATTGAAGAACTGCAGACTTCCCTTCTCATTGATGTGTTGAGTGTTAGTTGAGCACGATTTCCTCTTGGAGTACGAGGCAGTACTCCCAGTGTATTTTCAGGAGGTCATCATAAGAAGCTAAAAGCTTTTGTAGATCGAAAAGAAGTCTGCTGCCTTTAAATTTGAATTCCGTTAAAATGGCGGCGATCCATGAGGTCGGAGTGGTTGCTACAGTAGTGAACCGACCGTTAGATGTGATGACGGATCACTTAAAAAAGATAAAATTTGAAACAATTTGGAAGGGGGTGTAACAGTTTCGTAATGGTTTACTGTTTCACTGCAGCTGAATTTTTTTAAGATCAAAGTCGGCTTTTAAGTTAAGAATGATTGGTTTAAGCCAAAGGCCCGCGCATGATGAAATCCGTTCCATCTGATTGAAACGACGTTCGTAGGTAATTAACTAAGAGTGCATCGAAAAAGGCAAGATAATTGTAAGAAAGTGACGACGAGATTTTGTTTGGAACCAAGATTGTAACTCATCACTTATATGGAGTTGCTGTAGTAGGATATCTCACTCATATGAAAGTACTGTAAATGGACACATCAGTTCATGTACAAGTGTTTTCATACCACTTCCAAATATCCCATAATATGCACCATAATCCTCGATTACGCAGCTCGAATCCTAACAAAGAGCGCCATTTCTCCGTGCTTCATTACTCATATGGATTGAGGCCAGCCCAATTATCTGTTTAAAATACCCAGGCATTGATAAAAGTAGAACATGAAATTTTCAGTGTTCATTAGTTGGACAGATCTCAAAATTTCAGCAGCACCTTTTCGGGAACTTCTTAACATTTTTGGAATGTTTCAATAGACTTTGAGATATACAGCCTATCCATGGATCGAAACGATTCTGCTGCCCAGTCAGTGTCACCAAAGCAAATCTTCACGGAACGCGTTGTATAAACAGTGTGTGATAAACGTTTCTCTTAGTCCATCAATAAGCTGACGCGAATCAAATAAAGGAAGGGGTCTGCTTATGATCTTTGAGTTATTCCCAATAGTGCCGTTCATGTTTCGTCCGTAGGCTCTTTGTTGCTGATTAATGTGCATTCGAATGGAGTACTCAAAGCTGCCGCCATCAATCATTGTACCAATTCACAGAGTGCATTGTCCATGTAGTGAACGGGATACTCACCCCTTCAATTATTGTAACCATTATGGAAACGTTTGATCTTGAAACTCAAGTGCTTAACGTCCCACCCATTGCAAGATTTCTGAAGCGAAAATTCCTTGCTCACAGTTTTTCCGCTAAAACCATTTCCAACATGGTAATGAGCCCTTGATTTACATTCGCCAACTTGAAGAACCAACGACATCGTCGGCAAAGGTGAACCGCTATGTCCCGAGACGCTCGTCAATCCCCGCCAACCATTTCCGTATCGGCAAGCCTTTCCGTGGACTAATTCGATGAAAAATGTTTATGACACTTCACACTAACAGACTCAGTCCTATCTCATAACGCTGCAGTCGATATCTATCGTTCTGAAGAAACAAAGAGCCTCCAACATTCTAGTAGAAACTGCCGAAATGAGTTCTGTGCTTCTCTAGCTCGATAATTATTGTTTAAATCCTGCTAATGTACGTCTGAAGAAATCTTCACTAATGGTTCACAATGGAAACATTCTAGAAAAAACAGGCCGATTTCCGTTTGGTGAAGTCCCTTTGAGAGTTCTGCCAGCCATCTGACCATTCGCGTCGATCACTAGGATTGATAATGACCTCCAGCGGCTCCTCTATTGTTCCATTCAGAAACAATATTTTGACGTCTCTTGAATTAATTGTCGACTTCTTGCCTTAAGTGGTCTGAGAAATGATATGTAAGAAATCTGCGTCTCATTACTTAAGGAGTACTGTATGTTGGACCTAGGTGTTATAGCTGAATAAATAAATCGTCAACTATGAGGATATCAAGTCCACATCTGTGCAAGCAATCACCGTCGTGATCACAGTAAACTATCATTGTTTGCTTAGTAGTGTGTTAGGCACAGTTCCTGGACATCTAGCTGCTTATGGGAACTCATGCATTTTTGGGACAATTTCTGTATGGAAAAGAAAAAAAAATCCAAGAATGAAATCGACGGTAAGTCACTAAAGAAGAAGGAAAATTTGACATCCCTCGATCAGCACCTCGCATCCGCCTGTAGACCCAAGGAGAATTGACGCGGTAGTCTATCAGATGTTTTTCTAGCTAAAACCTCAGTTTCCGTAGTTTTTATGCGGTATTCTAACAATTGAGACAATTTGGAACATATTTACCATTGCTATGAAACTCCTAAAAAATTTGATTACGTTTTCATTACAGATCTAGGTTTTACTATTTTTCAAAGTCAGGTTGGAGAAAAATTCGAGAAGAATGCTTATGAGCTTCTGATGGAGCCTTTTTTCGACAACAGTGCCACCGATTCTGTTTTAAGCTTCATTCTTTCACTATGAAGGAGAGAAGATCAAGAAATTTCATGTGACTTTATAAATCAGAATACACTTGTTACTTGAACTTTCGAACTGTTTTCCATCCTTAAAACCCCGTCAACGCCCTAACACTGAATTTACCGATGCCGTTCCTTATGATTCGTTAAGTGACATGAGATCTCCACCGCTCTCGAATCTCCAGAAAAAGATCACCTCGCTGTTCCGCCTGATTGTTCTCCTGCCACGTTGTCGACACGCAGGTGTCCGTGCTCACTCTAATAATAACTGCCGTCTCCTCCCAATGTTGTTTGCAACCTCATCCCATTGCGCAAAAATAAATCCAAGAAGGATTTACCTTTGTCAACAAACCAATGCTACCGTATTCAAAAGCGTTTAGTTAACGAGACAATGAAGCTCTGTCGGAACCACCACACAGCTGCCAATGGAGAGAGGTTGAGAACAATTGACAATCGAGTCATATGCTCTGTTAGGCGGCTTTTTTTTGGTCCCAAACAGATACTGTTCCAACGATTGTGTGCTTAGCGGTCTAGCAAAAGCTCTTCTTCAGTTGCTAAGCCACATCGCGTGAGCACTGTCCATTGTTTACTTAGGCTTCCTTTGTCTCTCTTTCCAGAAATTCCAACCAAATCCTTCACTTGCTGGATATTTTTAAGTAAAGTACTTTTTTGTAGCAATAAAAGGATAAAGTGGAAAAAGATTAGCCTCCATTCATAGCAACATGGAGGTGATGAGATGCATTCTTGTTTTGCTCAGTACTGGCATGGGGTGCAACCAATGTATCAAGTTAGTGTTTTTATTCTCTAGCCATTTCTTATCACGCATTTCCTATTCTAAGGTTTAGGATCTAAGGAACGAGCCAACGACCGCGTGTATTGCAAACCACCTCTAGCTACTACGCTGTAAACACAAGATTACCATCAAAATCTAATAATCTATATAGAATAACCTTCCTGTTTTGCAAACATTTTTTATAATGAAAATATACTATAAGGATTGAGCCATCCACAACGACAATTCACCTTCAAAGCACCAATTGGTTCCAATGATCCACTCAAATGAAGCGGCTTAAAGGAAAAGCTGTTCCGTGAGTTAAATGGCCTAAAAAAGACCATGCCATGTTTGTTTATGTCAGATCCAATACTATTTATGACAAATTTCAGTGTCTCATCGTTTCGTAACTAGCCCTTTATACTTTATATAAATATATATATATATTTCTT